GATCGTAGAAAAAGCATAGAAAATTGACATCAGGAATGAAAGAAAATAAAGAGGTAAGTAAGGATATTTAAATACGTCCAGCCTTTTTCTTTTTTCCTGATTTCTTTTTACCCAAGCAAAAGAGAAACGCAGTGTTTGTTAGCGATAATGCTACAACATTTGGATTGCTTGCTGTTTTCAGTGTAACGGGATGTTGATATTGTTCCAGTATTTCATCTAAAGACCGTCTAAGGAGTATTATCATTCCTATCAGAATGCACATCCTTGGGAGTTTCAAGTACTTAAAGTAATGTGTAAAGATTATTTCGGAGGATTGTAGGCCGAGTTGTCTCCGCAAGAGCTACCTACTTACGATTGTAAGATATAAATTACAGCGATTTTCGTCGAACATGGGTGAAGGATGTTAAGAGGTTATCATGGCATTTAAACTTCTCTAGATAATGAATTTACCTCGAAAATCGCATTTCACGGTAAACCTAACCGATGGTAATGAATTCTGTCGATCTTTTATTTGTACTTGCTAACTGTCTATTGAAAATCAAATTCCCAGATTTGTCCTAAGTCGTTTTTAAAATATAGGATGCCAGAGTTTTGCAGAAAATGACACTTTTTGCCTTCCTAGTGAACTGATTTCAGTTCAATTACACACTTGTCGTAGCTTTTACGACAAATGATTGACAAGGTTATCAAGGTTTGGTTTATCGGCGGTGAAGATATGTCCGTTTCGGCCAAAATTTGTAAAGTCGCGACAAACCATCCGCACTTGTAAAATGTTGGTGATTAAAGAACATTTGTCTAAATAAACAACTCAGTCGCTAGTGCGGAAAGGCACTAATTATAAGATCAAAGTAAATTATATTGTTGTTTAAAATCTTTAACAGCTCCTAAGATAGTTAGTCTTGACAATGCAATGGAAAATCACGATAGTAGTTTCTTTGACAAGTTCCCAAAAAAGGCATTCCATTCTAACTACTTAATAACCGAGAATGATGTCTTACCGAAATATCTCAAACTGAAGCCGAGATTCGAGGTTATTTAAAAAAAACAAGTGAACGGTTGAGGTTATCTAATTTAAAGTTATATGGCTATTAAACGCTTCTGATGAAACAAAATAAATTAATTCAATCGGGAATCGTCACTTTGCATCCCGTGATGAGCGTCTGCATGCATTTAACTACACTTTGCTTGTGCCATAATAAAGTGGTAGTATTCCAATTTCAATAGACGATCAGAGAGGGGGAACTAGTTTTCAGCTTTTTTAATACTTTGATAAGGAATCACATTCTAAGACATACTCAACCACGCTGAAAAGTTCGGTTGGTTATATAGTTTGCACTTCCTTACAGGTTAGTTGGATGAAAAGTTACAAAAGAAGCTGAAATGAATAATTTCAGATTTCTAAAGCTGAAAACAAATTGAAGTGCTGCAAGTGAAAGCAAGAATTTCTCAAGTATACTTATATCTGCTTGAGCTTTCTTCACATCCTCCAATTTACTGTAAGAAGTGAAATACAAAATGAAATTTACTCTTCCAGTTAACAGTGTAAGGTTTTTGAACTTAAATAATTTAATCAGTCGTGATCTACTATGTGGGTGAATTTTCCCTAAAAATTAGAAAAACTTCACGGTGGCTTTTTAGATGATCAACTCTTTGCAACTATGTCGACGAGTAATCAAACTATGTAAATATTACTAGGTTATTGGAATTTGCTCGGAGGATAATTTATAACTAAATTTCTCAGTACACCTACTATTTGCATTTTCAGAAAGAAATTTTGATAAAATTTTCACCTCGAAATTTTCCACTCAGCCTTAATTTGTAACTAAATTTGAACTACGTGGTTTACAAATTCATCAGATCAAAAAACATAGAAGTCTTCCGACTGCTTAAAATAGATTTTTCCTCTACTTTCTCCACTGATAACGGGATATAAATCTTTATTTCCAAAAATTCAAGCGTTTTTATGACCATTATTTCAACGCAGCCTCTATAAGCAGGACTACACTCACAAAACTTTATCTTAAGAAACAGTCTTCTAACCATTGCTGATAAGCGAATAATTATATTTACTTACTTTTCCATCTCATTCAGAGCTATCTTCCACTGAAAAACCAATTACAAGACTATGTTTACCGATATTGTTCACTGGTACTATGAAACACCTCAAGACTTCCCCGTCAACACTTCTCAGTTGCAGGTAGCGGGTAGTTTTCGATCGTTATTTTGGTGAAATTGAAAGACAGTAACCCGAGTCGTGAATAGAAGTTTAGTGGTCGTTACTCTAAATTACCTGCAATGCAATATTTTTCTCTAAACTCCTTTCGTCACCTCTACTCAAAGTAGATCTTTCGCAGAGGTCTCGTCAAAATCAACAGGAAGTCACAAGAATGCTTAAATAGTTTCTTGAAGAAGAAGAAACAATCTTTTGTGTCTTTTTTTACGAGCAGTTTGAAGATATTTGGACGAACTCTTTCACTTTTACGGCGCGACGAGATTTAAAACTTAATGGACACCTTAAAGTTCAACAGCATGTTCCCAATCTCATCGATCGTTTCGGTAACTCCCTAACTTGTACATTTGCAATAAGATCAGGAGACATGAAAGCACTTAAAAAGCACGGTACTAATGCAACGAATAAGACAATCTGTAGTACTTACATTTTCATGTTATCTTTTGCTTCTATCTCCTCCTGTGTGTATTTAAGAACATAGACAAACTCAAATCCTCTCTCTTATCAATTATAGTCGATAACATAGGATGAGAAAAATTGCGGTGCCTTAGGGGGTTGACCTCCTAAGGATGGGGTGTGAGGAGAGTAACTTGCAATGGACTAGCAGTCAGTCCAGGAGAGGTGTGGAAGGAGGGGAACTTGCAATGTACAAACATTCGATCCAGGGGAATGGCAATACTCCAAGTGCATTCATAACGCAGCAGATGAGGTCCTGCAACATGGACCACCTGACTCCAGCATACAGGAAAGAAATAGTGCTCGCTCAAATTTATCATAAAATGGTAAAGGACGACTCTTAAACCTTATAAAAATGCAAAAAAAAAAACATTTAAACTCACCAGGATTCAAATGCCACGAGGCATATCAATCTATCAATTCTTTGCTTATTTGTTAGATCACGAAGTAAATGCATATTCCTTTTCCCTCGTAAATTTGATGCAATGTAGCTCAAACAAAATTGTTAGTCTTTAGCCCACCTAAGGAGAATTATCTAAGCGATGATCTTTTTTATAAAAAGAACGATGTTTCATCCAAAATCCATATTCCCTTTTAATCAAACGTCAACGTCCCTGAGGTTATAACAGAAATTCGACACTTTTTTAAGAGATCAAGAAACAAAAATGAAAGCAAACAGTAGATATAACATCCTTTTCTAAAAACCAAAAACCCAAAACTCCCAAGCTCAGATTAAAAGTAAAATTGACAAGAGTAAAGTACCTGGTTAAGGATTTCCCTTTCACAGACAAGATCATCGATGGCCTTTTTATACCAAAAACCTTTCACAGACAAGATCAACGATGGTTTTTTTATCCGCTTCAGCCTGCTTCCTGCTTGATTCAAGATCTGAATAAGATAAAGGAAGAGAAAGTCTATAGATCGTAAAGGTTAAATCTTATTTGAGTAATCTTAATTATTAAGTATGTTAGGCAATCTAATTATTATGATTTGTAGTTACATCAACTTTTAACAAGAACTAAAACATCAGATAGATGTTTTATCGTTTATCTCAAGATATAGAGTCAGGCTATCGATATGAATTGGTCACCTGACTCTTTGTCGTGGGACAAACGATTAAACATCTATCAAGTTATTCACCACGATGAATAATAACATAATTTATCATATAAATTATGGTGTTACACTAGGAATTCCAGCCCCGAGAAAAGCCGTAACAACACAAAGATACGATGTTTTTTCACCTGGGTTTGATATCGCCAATCAGCTCCTAACACGTCACTCGCCTTTCTCGCCACTCGGTTAGGTTGATAAATGAACAATAAAGCCTTCACCATTCTCAATCCAAGGTCGTTTGACGGAATCTTCTCGGATTATGGCTGCTAAAACACTGAAAAATCCGTATCGTTTACAGACAGTGACGTTCAAACTTTTCTAGAACGGGAAGAAAACCAAAATACGAAAAGAAAAACCGAAAGTTACGTATTTAGTGCCTTTGGTAATGGTATTTCTCGCGGCTGAGAACAAAAATCGACTGCTGGAGTCGAGCTGGAAGATTTGTTACTGGCTGATTTTGGCATTGTACGTGAAATATTTCTTTTCTGTCGGTAAGGACAAAGTCAATAACTGAGAATTTTGTTTATTAAAAAGTACGTCCATTGTTGTTTTTGTAATAATTCAACGCATTGAACTGTGAGCCTTGGTGCCAACGCACATTACAATTCTTATTCGGGAATTATCGATCCTTTTATTTTAATAAGTTAATAAAGCCGACTTTTCTTGTAAGTAAAGGGTTATCATGTTTATATCATTACCAAAATAATACACGGTTAATTGTAGATATGGAACTCTCCTCTCGAGTTAAACTCGACATCGCACTTGTTCGCTGCGCTCACGCGTGAAGTATCAAGTGGATCATTTGAAGAGAAATTCCATATCAATGCGCACCCATACATTACTCTCTATTTTTAACATTGGACTAAAAAATTAATTATTGTAAGAATCCTTTAAAATGTGCCGTGCTCCCAGCGTATAGCTTCATAGCTCAGTTAGTAGTTGCACCCAACTAGTGTCTGGGAGACTGAAAAAACTTCTTTCCTGCCGAAGGTTATTTAACATGATAATCCTTGGAAAAAGGTGCAATTTGTAGTGGACCTTGTTAAGTCCCTTAAATCTACACGCAAAATCACGATTAAGGTGACTTTGTCTTGTTGGAGCTACTCTAGAACTGTGGAAAGGGAAAGCCAGAAATGTCTGAGATCTGTCTAGTTTCAAAAAGACAAACATTCTCTCTTCATACCATCATTCCACTTACCTTTTTCTAAGCCAGAAATTTGTCTTTTAAGAGTTTCTTCCCGTTGTTCAACCTCAATCTTCTGATACTCAATGGCTCTCAGCTTTCTCTGGATGGCCTCTGCCATTGCACTTTGGTGCAGTGTTTCCTGTCTCAGCCCATTTATCTCATCTTCCTTTGCCTTCAACTCGGCAGCTTTGTGTGTGTTTTCCGTGGCCAGCCGATCAATGCTGAGAAGTTGCTGATCAAAATCTTGCTGGAATTTGTTTAGGCGAGCATTCAACACATCTGTATACTCCATAGCTTTTTCATTCATTATTAAAAACAAATCAAATATGATCGTCAACACTTGAAAGCCATTCTTCTCTAATTAAAGAAATATCCATGACCAAGGGAAGCCTTAAATTTGTTTTTTTATTACGCGAATATTGACATGAACTTTTTATGACAAATGAAAATTGAATAAAAACTCTTAACAAATTTACCCGCTGTTCCTTGAGTTGCTGGTCAAGTTTTGTGATGTTTTCCTGTGCACTTTGAAGATTTCCTGCTTTTGCCCTCAGCTCAGCAGTTCTATTTTCTTAATCGTTCTTTGCTTAACTCAACTCCTTTTTAAGTTCCTCTCCTTTTCTAGCTTCTTGCTGGGCTTTAACACTTTGGACTTGAATTTCTTCTTTAAACTGTCGGAACAAAAAAAAGTCATGCAAATTTAACCTAATGTATAAAAATAGAAACCTGTCTTCTAATAATTTTAAAATCTGATGAACCCTATAGAAAATGATAATGCTTTCTAGCCTTTTACCGAAACAAAAAAACCATATTCGTTGCTCCAGAGATTTTTCAAAGTGACACGGTTTCCATTCATATTCAACCTGTGCAAATAATATGACTTAACTTTTCGCCCCTGAAGTGTTGCTCAACATTTCTAATGAAAATATCAGTTAAAGGATTCAGTGAAACACTATTTCTCTATTTTGAATTTAGGCCAATGTTCAAATCAATGTAGCTTCACGGATCATCTGTTTTGTGTTACCTGGACCTAAAACCATAAAAAGGAATTAGATTAAACACCAATTTAAAAGTTCTCATCGAATTTCCCATTATCGTTTATACTCATACCTCTCGAGCTTTTCTCGCTCTTTTCTTCATTGTTTTTCCTGTGTAATATTACATTAAAAGAGAAAAAAAACCAGACTTCTTTTTGACATTCGTATGCTTAAATATTCTTGAATGTAAGAGGTTGCCTGGATTTTCCTTTTGACCTTCCCTGCCAACACTCGCGGTATTTCATTCACGTCCTTACAGTTTAACTTATCAGTCAATACTTAATTTTGGTAACTAAAATTATCGCCAAATATTAGAACTAGTTCGAAATCATTAAAAAAATGCTCTTCGTTGCTTACGAGGTGGTGGAATAATAAATAGAGAACAGTAGCCTCTTCTGTCATGAAAAATTTGATTCCTGTACTTTTAATCCATACCCGGCGGATCAAAAGGTGTGTGACTTTCCATAATCACTGCAGAAAAAGAATATTTCACGTTCTTATATATCAAATGTAACGTGTCACCTGACCGAAAACTGGGAGAGGTATGGTGTTATCAAATTTTCAACTCGGAAAATATCATTTCCTCACTCAGCTTCCGTTACCAGCTCATACTCTGAATCGTCTTAAATTGAAATGTATTGCGCGAACTATTGTGGAGCTGCGAAAGGGCTCCAGATATCCTAACTTTCACGCGTGCACATACAATAATTATTATTTATTCGCTGTGTGATGATTCCTAATTTTCAAACCTAACGTGCGATGAGATAGGAGACTTCGTTTAAAATTCATTGAAGATGACAGCAATTTGCTGTCGTTCCCGAGAAATGGACTTAAATTTGAAAATAAAAAGCAGTAAAGGGTCAGAAAGCTCTTCGAGAATAATTTGCCTTGTGCGTAGCCAAAACATCATATAGATTAAGAATACACAATAATCTATAATGGCGCGAAAGTGTTCTTGAATATTTTACCTTGAACATTTTTTGTTTATCAGAGCTATCAGTATTCCTTGAGCTTCCTCCCAGAAGATACAGACAAATTTTTATTCCTACTCTTTTCACCTCTCATGATTTCTCAAACTAATAATCAACTTGACCACCTTAAACTGGAAAAGAAACACAAGAAGGCAGTAGCCAGGGACGACGAGTATGCTAAGGTAAATGTTGAGAGGACTACTCCTGGCGTCGTGTCCATACTCTCTTATCCGCATCACGTGAGGCTAACCCTCCTGAGGAGATCTCCCAGAGCTCTAAGCAGAATTTGATCCGCCCATGTTTTATGATGCGATTATCGTGCTCATGAGTCAGATGACTTAGCAAAAAACGGTTCCGATATCTTTTAGTTTAGATCCTGATGAAGAATTTAACCTTAGAGATCAAGGCTACCACAATCTTGGACGGCAAAATCGTGCGATGGAGGAATTCGTAAATCAGCAACAGAAAACTCGTAATCGAGAAGAAAAGCACCCGTTTTTTTTCCGCGAGTGCGTCGTGTAGGTTTTTAATTAGTCCCGTCTGCGAAAGTTTTGATTTCTTTTAAAAGAAAAGCCCGTTTCTTGTGTTCCAGAAAAAGACACCAATCGATGGGATGCTGCCCTGTGCGCATTGTAATCTGCAATGGGAGACATGCAACAGTGATGCACCAGATGTATCTTGGTTCGTCTCGACTGGCACGTTTGATTTCAAAGTGCTCATTAGAGATCGACCTTTTACTAGCCGTGGTATACTTTCAATGGTCAATTCAGTTCATGACCTGCTGGGAATGGCAGCTCCGTTTATTCTTCCAGGTATGCTTTTTCATCAGGACTTGGATCCAAAGGGCTTAGAATCAGATGGGACGACGAAATTTTAGAGAATCGCTTAATTCTTTAACGAACATGGTTTGAAGTTAGAAGTCTTTGCGCCTTCGGATCTTCCGTAGAATACCTCTACTGTCGAAAAAGAGGCTCGCGCTCAACATTTAAGTCTTAAAATAAATGTCATTCTAGTGTAAGACGACCGGCTAACTTGAAGATTGTACCCGTTGGCTCCGGTAATTAAAGAGTTAAAGAAAGCTGTTTGACCGACAATTACTCCGGAGCAAAACATTCGAACTTGGACTTACATACTAAGATTCAATCCATCAGCTGCCCACAAATTTAAAGACTAAAAACTGCAAGGAAAGTTACTTATGCCGTTATAAGGATCGGAGTGGTGACCGGTGAGGAGCTGATCACAGTGTTCGTAGAGTCCCTACTATTAATCCCCGTCCGTTAACCTAACCGAGCTACGATCACTAGACGAGGTTGTACTAACCCCATTTCCATCATTTCGCTCGGGCCAAACGGGAGGACAGGTGGCCACTGAATCTGTCGAAAGCACTTCTGCTTTTAAGACGTCAAAGATGGCGATTGGAGGAAATGGCACAAATAATATGTTCCTGCCCTTAAGAGCCGACTGAAGTAAAATTCAGAATCCCGACACCTTAAGCCGTTAATACAAACTGACATGCCAGATATCAGTGATTTTATACGCCGATCGCGGCGATCAGCGCTGAAAACCGTCATCGCTGTAGCGGGCACTCCTGCCGATTTTCGCCGATCAACGAATAAAATCGCCAAGTGTTTCGCTGATGTAAGAATTAGAGATGTAGACCTTGTGACTATGATCGACACTCCAAAACAAAGTTGACTTTGAGGACGAATTGTTGCAGTGTATTGTGGGTGTAATGGCCACACCCGTGTGGCTTTTAAAATTTTGAGTACGTAGATAAGGTTGTTATTTGACCAATTTAAAAATTCAAACATCTTAATTGTAATTCAGAAACATGCTATGGGAAGGCAAAATGTTTTAAAATAAAAGCAAACTGACGTGACGCGTGACGCGTGCTCAGACATCTAGATTTTGGAAGCTCGCCCGAAATAACGCGTAGGACTATGGGTTATGTGAGAGGCCGTTTTTATTTGCTTTCTCTCTCCTTACTAGGGTCGCACTTTTTAGCGATTCTGTGTGCAAGTTATTTCATGCATGATAAGTTCGCGGACTTTTTTTATTTAAATTTCATACCGCTTACGAACTATAAGATAGAATCGAAATAGACTACCAATTTTTCTTAGAAGGGTTAAGTGAAATTCTCCTTTTCCCTTTGTTTTCTTTTCCTTTCTTGGCAATTCTCATGAAATTTAAACAGTGATGAACAATAACAATATGCACGCCACTGTCAAATCACAATAGTTTGCTCAACCTTGTCGAATAACTGTCAAGAAGTCTCTTAAGCCGAAGATATTGAAAACCGAAAAATTGGTGTGATTAGCCACTAAATATGTCATAAAATCTGCCGATTTACGTCCTACCTTGCGTAAGGCTTATTGTGAAATTGACTTCGCATTATGGTCTCAACATATCAAACAATGACGTTTAAACTTTACTGGAACTATTTGAAATAGTAACTGCCAACGACACACGACAGAACTGAATGCACGGGCGGAGTGCTTACCTTAAAGGCTGAGATGCGGATCTTAGGTGCCGTGTACATTTAAAGATCGATGATGACGCGAATACTACGGAAGATTTTTGGAAAGTTCTTAAGGAAATTCTTTATGATAGCTGGCCGACTTCAGGACTTCAGACCCTCATTTGCTGGCGTACATACCTGGAACTAGAAGTGTACAGGAAACCATGTCAAAGAAAAGGTCAGCGCGCGAATAAAAGATAATTCTTTCTTTCCTTATAAAATTGCTACATCAATCAAAACTTCGTTGCTTAGCGAAACTTGGAACTTCGCACCAATCAAATCCGCTTTGCTGGGGAAAACCTGAGCACTTCCCACCACGCCAAATCGCATAGCAATTCTCGGGAATTTAATTCCTTAGGGACTTTGGGTTGTTCACAGCACCTTCGGCGTTTCAGTCTTTCTTTGGGTAGGCCTTCAGTTCTGGAATCCGTTATAGATCACTCCAAGTCATCTTATCTCGGGTTTACTTAGGATGCCATTTTAGGCTTATGTGCGGTGTAGATCATTGTCCTACTAACAACTACTATTTTGGATCTTTTTAGCTGGCTTAAACGTCATTTTTGGTTATTTTCTGGCCATTAGTTAAGGTTATGTTAGGTTTCTTTTTTAGGTCATTTTAGGTCATTGTGGAATCAGTCGAGGTCATTTTAGGTCATTCCTTGTTTTCGTAAGTACGGTTTTAAGAAGATTTTGAATAGCCTGCTTTCCTACTTTTTAACGTGTTTGATAAACAAATACGGAGGCGAAAAATATGTGTCCTCATAGGAAAGAAGTCGAAACA